AAAATGATCTTTATAGAAGATCTACATGGCAATAAAATTGACTTCATATTCTACCAATTAAATCTATCTAAAATTTTTACCTGTCACAGTGTGAACATTTTATTTTTTATAATATTATTAAATCCCTTTTCTTGAATTTTTATATATTAATATTAAATAAATTAGTTTTTATTTAACTAAAATTTATTTATAAATAATTTATCTTTTATAATAAATAAGACATGATTTAAAAATATGAACCAAATGCTACTCCTAATCCTTTATATTTTCAATTTCATTTAAATCCAATTTAAGTCTTTTAGCTTGTATAATTCAAATCTGCAATAATACAATTTTAACTGGATCTATTAATATGTTCAAATTAAGAAGGTTAAACTCATTAATTGAAATACAAGGTTAAATAATACACAAAAAATTCTTTGATATGCAACTGTAATTGCACAATTTGTAAAAATATGAGCAATATAAAAACTAAAATAAATAAAATAAATATCAATTAATATTTATATAATTTTAAATTATATAAAATACTAATTTTTATTATACAATAAAAAACTTACTTAGATTATATTCATTATTATATTAATTAACTTCAAATTTGTATATTTTACCTAATATGCATTTAAAAGATAAATCAATTTAAAAATGCTTACATTTGTCTACTCAGTTAATTATTCAGAAGTTATATAGATAATTAATATATGTTTGTCTTTAAAGAATTCTAATAATAAATATATTATTTATTTAAATTACTATTATAGCTAATTTCATAAGTTACAGAACAGCCGATAATAAATAAAACTTTTCTGAAAACATTTATAAGAATTTGAAAAACCAACTGCAATTTTATATAGGTAAAAAAATTATGTTGCTATATTCAGAACAATAATTTGAATGTAGTAATAATATTTTTCTTCAAAAAATTCTATACTGAGTTTACCAAGTTTTTTTATCTGTCTGTAAAATGATCATCCATTTTATGACTTTTAAAATTAGCTATAAATAAATTAAATACAAAATGTAAATTTTATTTTTAATATTACCTAAAAGTTTTACATAATCATGAAAATTATTAATATTATATGAATAATTATAAATAACTCTAAGCAATTTATATCCTTGTGAATTAATTTCTTTTTAAATTTTATCAACATAATACCAAAGACGATCAGTATTATTTAAAGATGCATGTATATCAGAAAGATATTTAACTTCAAAATATGCTTTAATTAAATTTCCTATCAAATAAAATAAAATTCATTTAGTATAAATTCAAGAAATTTTTAAATAAAAAATCTAATATAATAAATAAATATAAATATATATTTTTTTTATTATTTACCTGTGATAATATGAGTTGAAGTAACATTTGCATTATCATTATTTGCTTAATAAATTAATTCTTGTAAGCATATATAAATGATACTAGATACTTGATTTAGAGGTAACAGTGGATAAGTATGAATGCCTTTTGATATAAGAATTATATATAGATATTTTTCAAGATTAATAGAAATTAATTTATAATATTTAATTCCAATTGACTTTTTTAAAAATGATTCTTGCTTAATGATATTTTCAGAATGTGAGGATGTACTGCCAATATATATTTTATATAAATTAAGTAATTTAGCAGTAAGATTTTAAAAATTATATATTAAGATTAAATAACTTACAATAATATGCTCTCTTTGTACTATTGCTAAATACTGCGAAATAGTTATTTGCTAGTTCATCTGATTCCCCCTAAAATATTTTTAAATTAAGTTATATAAATAAATAAAAATATTAATTTAATATTTAAGATAGCTATATTTAACCTTATATAATCTATCTAAATGTTGCTGAAGCAAATTCAGGACTATATTTCTTTAATACTAATAAACTGGTGAAATCTTTCATTTATCTTCCATCTGATACAACCAATAAAAAATTATGGTGATACTGTTTGATCATGATATTGTAAATATTTTAATATAGGTTTGCCTATACATTGAATTCCATTTTGTATATATCAGCATTTAGTTTTATATGTAGCCAAATATTTATTAAAATAAAATTAATTAGTAGATTTTATAAAAAATGATCACTGTTATGCATGATAGATATATTATGCAAATACTTATGCAAAAGTATTATTTTTTACATTATCAGTTGATAATTCTTCATTCATTTTAATCTTAAATCTAATTCTGGATCTACTGACTTATGTTTTATTTCCAAAATTCTGGATCTGCAAATTCGCAAATTTTAACTCTATGACAAGTCCTATCTTTTTTAATTATAGCAATATCACTAAGATAAGTACAAGTTGTTTATTTTGACCAGAAGGTAAACCCATAGAATATTGAATCTTTAAATATTAACAATTATTAGTATTGTTTTAATTATATTAAATAATTTAAAATAAATATTATATCTACAAATGCCATTTCTATATTTTTCCATTCTTCAACATGATAAATTATAGCAGTGCCTTCATCACTTGTTGGTGGATATTCTATTAGAGTTAATGAATGAATAATTATTTTAACATTTATATTTTTTGTAATATATATTTCTTATCTGATTATATTTTATGGTTAAATAATTTTTTTATAATATGTAGTATAGTTTACTTTATAAATACATACATATAAATAGGAAGGTTATCTCAGAAATAAGGTTTTCTTCATAAATGATATTTTCCTCATTAACATAATTAGTATCTGATATGTTTATTTGAAGAGACATCTGTTTAACACGAAAATAGTAAATGGTATTTTAACGCGTAAAAAATTTTTTTCTCCTGATTTATTTTATGAATGATCAATCTGATTATAACGATATGATGATCAGATGTAAATTGTGTATCACTTCTAATTTCACATGACCATACCTCAATAGGTTGATCTGACTTTATCACTCATTGATATACGATATTTTATTCATACATCATTAGTAAATTATATATATTTGATAAACATATACTTCCCTCTAAATAATATCCAACCACTTGCCGATCATTTATCAATTATTTGAAATTATAGCAGATTTTGACGTTTATTACTTAACAATTTATTAATAAAATTTTTACAAAATTTATATATGTAATGCAGAAAAGCTCAT